CTCCAGGGGGTTCCAAAATCCCTGTCCCCCACGGGGGGTGTGTGTTTGTGTGGGGTGTTTGTGGGGTGTGTGTGGGGTGGGGGTCAACTTTCTCCCCCCCCCAGATTTCACTTTCTTTCCCTTGTCAGCCGAGGGAAGGGGGGTGACTTAGGGTGCAGTTTGCCTGATTTCCGCCCCCCCCCCAGCCGCTGTTTTTGGGCATTTTGCCCCTCTGATGCCTGATGTACCACGTCTGGTGGTGCTTCTACCATTGTGCTCCTCGGAGACAGCAAGGGCTCTCTTGCAGTGCCCCAGGGAAGCAGCACCATCGCATTTGCGTGAATTACTTCACGGTTAGATGTGAGTAACTGAGAGGTTTTGGGCTGGGTTTTTTTCAGATTTTTTTTTATTATATTTTTTTTAAAAAAGTTCCACAGTCACGGAATCACGGAATTGTCAGAGTGGGAAGGGGCCTTCTAGAGACCATCTAGCCCAGCTCCCCTGCCAAAGCAGGGCTGCCCAGAGCACATCACTCAGGAGCATCCATTGGGGCTTGAAGATCTCCAGAGAAGGGGACTCCACACCCTCCCTGGGCAGCCTCTGCCAGGGCTCTGCCACCCTCACCCCAAACAAGTTCTCCCTCACATTGGAGTGGAACTTCCCATGGTCCAGCTTGTGCCCGTTGCCCCTCGTCCTGTCCCTGGGAACCACTGAGAAGACTCCAGCTCCATCCTCCTCCAACCCACCCTTTAGATCCTTGTCAGCATTAATAAGGTCTCCCCTCAGCCTTCTCTTCTCCAGGCTAAAGAGCCCCAGCTCTCTCAGCCTTTCCTCACCAGGGAGATGCTTCAGTCCCTCCATCCTCTCTGTTGCCCTACGCTGGACTCTCTCCAGCAGTTCCCTGTCTCTCTTGAACTGGGGAGCCCAGAACTGGATGCAGGATTCCAGTTGTGGCCTCACCAGTGCAGAGCAGAGGGGGAGAATGACCTCCCTGTGCAGGAGTATAATGCAGAACGTAGAAGCAGTGTTATTTTTCTGGTCGTGCTGCCTCCCCTTGCCCCCGTGTTTGTGGCACGATGCTCTGTGAGCAGGAAGATGCGATAATCCCTCTTTCACGACAGGATGGTATCACAGATTGCAAATTATGCAACAATCCGTCTGAAAAAGTTTGTAATGAGGGGTTTCCGTGTGTCTGTGTGGTGTGAGCTTGTGTTCTGCCTGTTAGCTTGTATTCTTTTTTAATATTCCTCATAAACATGCCAAATAACGGCAAAAGGAAATTATGGCTTGGATGTGAAGAAGTCCAAGTACCCGGTGTGATTCAGAACCCCCTCCTTTCTGTTGCAGGTTGAATTCCCCGTTGTTCTTGAGAGTCCTCGGTTCTGCTGCTTGGTGAGGATCAGCCACGGGTGTTGAGATACTTGCCCTGGGATCTTCTGCCCGGGATGGCCCTGCTGAGGGGCTCTGCCCCCTGAGGAAGGGTCCTGGTGGTGACAGGCCACCCAGAGCGGCACCGCAGGGACTATGTGAGCTGGTTCCTGCCCTCCTGGAGTAAACATGATGAAAACGGAGTCTTCGGGAGAAAGATCAACCCTGCGAAGTGCCTCTCCTCACAGGAACGCCTACAGGACTGAGTTCCAGGCGCTGAAAAGCACCTTTGACAAACCCAAATCTGATGGGGACCAAAAAACGAAAGAGGAAGGAGAGGCCTCGCAGAGCCGGGGAAGGAAATATGGCTCCAACGTCAACAGGATTAAGAACTTGTTTATGCAGATGGGCATGGAGCCCACGGAAAGCGTTGGAGTTACCCCCAAAGCCAGGGGGAAGGGTGGCCCCCCGTCACCTCAGAGACGAATTAGGCCCAAAGAATTTGTAGAAAAAGCGGATGGTTCCATCGTAAAATTGGAGTCGTCTGTCTCGGAAAGGATTAGTAGGTTTGATACTATCCATGATGGTCCTTCCTATTCCAAGTTTACGGAAACTCGCAAGATGTTTGAGCGAAACGCTCATGAGACGGGACATTCCCATCGCTATTCCCCAAAGAAAGAGAAGGTGGTGTCCCAGGAGCTCCCGGACGAGTGGTGCGGCTCCAAGTCCCACCGGGGCAGCATGGACTCCCTGGACAGCCTCAGCCCCAGGACGGAGACCGTCTCCCCCACCGTGAGCCAGCTCAGCGCCGTCTTCGAGAACGCCGACGCGCACAACGTCATCCTGGTGGAGAAGTCGGAGAACAACGAGGAGTACTCCGTCACCGGCCACTACCCGCTCAACCTCTCCTCTCCCGTCACAAACCTCTCCTCCCCGGCCGCCAACCTGGAGGGTTTCAGCCCTTTGAAGGAAACGGGCACCTGGTCTCCACCAGCCAAAGAGAGCCCGGGCTCGGCCGAGACCTCCCAGCAAGGTGGCATGTCCTCCTCGCCCAGGCAGAAGATGTCCACGGGCACCTCGGCAGGTCCCAGGGCCGCCGAGGAGGGGAAGAGGAGTGTGGAGGGCAGTGCTGGGAGCGGCGGGGGCAGCCAGCGGGACTCGGCCGGTGGGGCGAGGAGCAAGTGGAAAGCAGAGAGCGAGGTGGTGTCACCACACCAGGAAGGCTTGGAGCCCACAGAGGGGGGTTTGGACAGACCCCAGGCTGCGGAGGTGCCACGGAGCACGGGTTCAGGTGGTGTTTTTGCCCCGGGTGCTGTTTCAGAGGCAGCCGAGTCCCGTTACGATGAGGAGGGTGAGAAGGAGGCGCAGGAGGAGGAGGACAGCTTGCAGGGCTCCCACGTGTACAGGCACTCCGACTACAGCGTGTACCGGGTACGCTCCCGCTACAACTCGGACTGGGGGGAGACCGGGACGGAGCAGGAGGATCAGGACGACAGCGATGACAATAACTGCTACGAACCCGACATGGAATATTCGGAAATTAACGGGCTGCCCGACGAAGACGAAATCCCAGCCAACAGAAAAATACAGTTCAGCCGTGCTCCCATCAAGGTAAGGCTTCTACATGTTTCTTCTAGACTTCGCTTTGTTTTCAGGTGTGGCTTTATCTGAAGCAGGTTTTGATCTCTGCTCTGGAGAGGATGTTGGGATCCAGGTTTTTGTTTCGGTCAACCAGCGAGTGTAACCTCACATGGGTTGAGGAAGCTGAGGTCCAACCAGCTCGTGTCTTATTGTGACCAGCTCGTGAGAATAAGTCTTATGAGAAGAGGCTGAGGGAGCTGGGGTTATTCAGCCTGGAGAAGAGGAGGCTGAGGGGAGACCTTATTGCTCTCTACAACTACCTGAGAGGACGGTGTAGAGAGGTGGGGGTCGGTCTCTTCTCCCAAGTCACAGGCAACAGGACAAGAGGAAATGGCCTCAAGTTACGCCAGGGGAGGTTCAGGCTGGATATTAGGAAAAATTTTTTCACTGAAAGGGTTCTCAGCCATTGGAATGGGCTGCCCAGGGAGGTGGTTGAGGCCCCATCCCTGGAGGTGTTCAAAAGACGGGTTGATGTAGTGCTGGGAGGTCTGGTTTAGTGATGATGCTTCTTGTTTGTTGTGTGGGTGTCTATTTTTGTCAGTCAGGTTGACGGTTGGACAAGATGATCTTTAAGGTCCCTTCCAACCTAGAAGATTCTGTGATTCTATGTCATTTCCTAGAGTGCCCACTGGCTGGTGGAGCTGGCAGAAATGGGGAGGTTTTGGGGAGTTTGAGAACTTTAACGTGTGTGTATTGACTGAGGTGACTTAACTGTCATGGCCTGGTGGGACGCAGAAGGGGGGGGTTGGTGGCCTTTCTGCTCCTGCTGCTGCTTTTTTCCGTTGGAAATCACAGCTGCTTTACATGGGTGGCTTTCCTTCAGCTCCGGTCAGATTTCTCTGTAACCGCTGTGGTGTGACGTGCAGCCTGGCTCTGGCTCAGTAACAGGGGACCGTTAATGTCCTGCGTCTGAATTAGCGTCATCTTTTCTAGTGGCATCTTCGCTCGTTAAAAACTTGATTGGACATGAATACGTCCCAGTGCTGCAGAGAGGCCGGGGTCAGGGGACTGGAATACATAACGGAGGGTGTGTTCCTCACAGAGCTTTTTTTGGTTGGTTTTTAAGTACCTCAAAATCCCAGCTGAGAATGTTGCATTGAGTATTCTGAGTTCTGGAAGGAATAACTAGTGGTACCAGCTTCTCACTGCCGAGTCTGGGGACTAAGGGTCAACCTGTTTTACTTCTGAGTTGCTTTTCCTGCACGTGGTCTCAAACGGACAATTCAAAACCATTGTCTTTTTTTTTTTTCCCAGCCATGGCTCTGGGAGGAGCCACAGGTGGCTTGAAATCTACTTGAAACCTAAACGTTTTTAAACTAACAAACTGCAACTGTCTGTGTTTTCACTGTGTGAGTTTAGTACCGAAAATTATTAAATCAACAAACAGAAGTGTCACTGTCAAACTGGGCGTGCTGTGATTTACCAAGCCTGTGTTTACACCACCTGTGCTTTAAGTTGGGCTAAGATTTGTGTTATGAGGTCGTTTAATCTGAATTAAGCAACCGGGTTTTCACATCCTGTTTATTGGGGGTGGAAGGAGGGGAACGGCCCCGTGTTCTTCATGCTTCTAAAAGACCACTTTTTACACTGAAACAAAATATTCTGAGCCAAGATAATGGATTTTTTTGTTTTGTTTTGTTAGTATTTTATTCAGGCTTGCGTCATGGACCAAAAATTCCGGCAGTGTTTGTGCTCCCTCTAGGTTACTCCCATCATTAAACTAGCTGCTTTTCTTGAATTTTTTTTTTTGGAGATGGAGTAGAGAGAACTTTTATTGCAGAGGATGATGGAAGTTGCCGCCCCCAGCGCTTCCCCCTCAGGCTGCACTGACAGACAAGGTGGTGTCCTCATCTGAAAGAGCTTCCAATTATGTCCAATTAGGTTTGTCTTACCGTGTTTATTGCAGTTCCAGCAGATAGGGGTTCAGAAAGTGATTACACTGATTTTATTCTTGAGACGGCTGGATTTTCTGCTGCTTCTGTTTTGAAAGAGCTAACGGTGACATTATTGCTTCGGTGTATTGCTGCCGTCTGCCTGGATCCTGCTGTCATGGGCTGTAAGAGCATTCTCTCCATTATTTAGGTATAAAATCTTTCTTTTCACCTCAAGATTTCCATGCCGTGTTCATTTCAGATTACTATTATCAAGTGATAATAACAGCTCATCAGGAAAATGCTCTAAAAGTCATTTGTGTAAATAATAAAAGAGCGCGTTTGTCATGGGTTTCAGCATAAAGCGTTCCTAACGAGCTCAGCCAAAGGAGAAGAATCGTTGCTTTAATTATTTTAGCATCTCCACTGTAGACAGGATGAACATGGAATAAAAGCTGCATTGAGAGAGGAGCGGAGGAGAGATTGGGAGGTTGGGGAGACGGGATGCTTTTTGTCCCCTGTGCCCTCGGAGCTTGCAGTCTGTTGGTCCCTGGGGAAGCAGAGGTGGGACCAGGTGGAGGGTGGCCCTTGGAGGAAGGAGTGCAGGGAACGTTGTGGAAAATCAAAAGCTGCTTCTCGTTTGGCGCTCTGAAACAGTAAGTAAGAATTCTGGGTGCTGTCTTCACTGAAAGAGATAAAAGGAAAGTAATGTGCCCTTGTGGCCAAGAAGGCCAATGGCATCCTGGAGGACATCAAGAAGAGTGTGACCAGCAGATGGAGGGAGGTCATCTTCTCCCTCTGCTCTGCCCTGGTGAGGCCCCATTGGGAGCACTGGGTCCAGTTCAAGAATCATAGAATCATAGAGGACAGGGAACTGCTGGAGAGGGGACAGCAGAGGCTACAAAGATGATGAGGGGCCTGGAGCATCTCTCTTATGAGGAGAGGCTGAGGGACTTGGGTCTGTTTAGTCTGGAGAAGAGAAGGCTGAGGGGGGATCTGATCAACGCCATAAAAATACTGAAAGGGTGGGTGTCAGGAGGATGGGGCCAGGCTTTTTTCAGTGGTGCCCAGGGTCAGGACAAAAGGTAATGGGCAAAACCTGGACATAAGAAGTTCCATCTCAACATGAGGAGGAACTTCTTTTCTGTGAGGGTGGCAGAGCCCTGGCAGAGGCTGCCCAGAGAGGTGGTGGAGTCTCCTTCTCTGGAGACATTCCAACCCCCCTGGACACGTTCCTGTGGGACCTGCTCTGGCAGGGGGTTGGACTGGATGATCTCCAGAGGTGCCTTCCAACCCCATAGCATTCTGTGACTCTGTAAGAAGGATTTAGCAGCTTCTGCAGCGATTCTGAACCAGCCTAGGTGAGATGGTGCTGTTTGGTCATAGCGCAGGGCTGTGCGGGGTCCAGTCATCGGCTGGGTTGGGTTGTTGGAGGCAGTTTTGTAGCTTGAATATACCAAGGCATGTTCCTGTCATCTCTGGCAGGGAAAGGAATAATTCCAAGTAGGCACAGCCTCAGAAAGGCAAAGTCAGTGAATGAGGTTATGGAATAGACACCAGCCATGTGGGAATGTCTGTCTTGTGGGGGATCTGTCTGTCGGTGGCCACAACCTGTGTCACTAACGCTTTCCAGAACGTTGTCTCGTGCGTAGCATAACTGGGAGAGGAATACAAAAAGCCATGCAGGAATGTTTTCTGAACTGTTGAAAACTGGTGCGTCTTTATTAAAATGAAGCAATTTTCTCTGCTGGATAACGGTGTGAAAAGTCCAACCCAGACTCTAGGGCTGATTTCACGGTATCGAACCACTGCTCCCCTCCCACAGGTGAGCTCGGAAATAATTAACAAAACTGGCATTTGACTGTGCAATCTGTGAAGCGAGTGGGTAGTTATTGCTGTAAAGTCGTTGGGTGAAGGTCTCGGCAGGTTTGGATAAACATCTCTGAACTGTTTTTCCAAGGGATTTTTCAGGTGGGCGTGGGAGAAGCCGATGTGAGGAGCGCCGAGGCTGAACAGCAGGGATTTCAGTCACCACCAAGGACATTTCCATCCCTTTAGGGAGATGCTGTAGACTATGGCAAGGAATGAAGTATAGGCAGAAGGATGAATAAATAAATTCTTACTCGTTAATCATAAAGATTGAGTTCTGCTCATCTCCCAAGCAGCAAAAAAACCCCGGTTGTGGAGAAGCTCACTATAAAGAGAATTAGAGAGTATTTCTTTGCCTGATTCAATATTTAGTGTGGCATTAGCCTGTTGTTAAAATGTTGAACTATTTTGGACTGTAGAAGATGTGTAGCTTCCTTCTGAAATCAATGGAAGAGTGTTTTCCTGCCCTTAAATTTGGTTTTGTCTCCTGTGTCCGTGCTCTGTTTGGGAGTGGATGGTGGTTTTGGCTAAAGCATGAAACTAGATATTGAGTCAGCTTAGGCTTTGTCTGCTGTAATGCTGAATAAATCACTGAACCTTTATGCTGGTATTTGAATTCTGTGAAATGACAGTAGGTTGGGGATTAGTTCCATCAGTCTTGACTTGAGAAGTAGTTTGAGATACTGAGCTATGGCTGGAGTAGCTGGAAACATCTCTGTTCTGCTGCATAAAATGACTTATGCTTTTCTCAAGTATTGTGAAGTACAGGAAATTCTAAATTCTACTTTTATTAGTAATGATGAAAATAACAACTGCTTTTATTGGCAATAAAATGTGTTGTGTTGCAGGGATTGTGATGCTGACTTTGATTTGTAAAAGTTAACGATGTAAACCCAGTTTCTCTCCTCTGGTGGTAGGATACAGGGAGCGTCTGTGGGACCCGGGCTTCTCATTCAGTTACATTTATTAAGAAAGATCATGTTGTGAAAGGCAGAACCTTTTGTATATCTGTATTTGTCCTGGAAAGGAGAGAGGAGTAAATGCTAAGGATTCAAAGACTCGATACTCTTAGATGAAGAACAACAGAAAGGGATAAAGCATTCCAGAGTGAGTTGCTGTGTTGGTTATTAAAGGTGAGTCTGTTTTTCTGTTTTACGTGGTTATCTCATCCGTGAAGCGCGTTATGTTCTCTCACTGGATGGGTCTTCACAAGCAGTGATTTCAGATGCA